CGGCTGTGGGGGGCTCCCTCTGCGGTGTGGCAGCTGTTGCGGGGCTCTCACTGTTAGCAGATCTGGATGACCAACACCAGCATGCGTTCATGCAGGCAGGTGCATGCACCCCTTTCTGCTCAGGTCCACCTGTTCAGCATGGCTGGGGGCGGACCTGCCTTCCCCTCCACTCCCCTACCTGGATGAGGTGAAGAGGGGAGTGAGAGGGGAGGGCAGGACACCAGCCGAAGCCCAAGGGACGAGATGACAGGGAACAGTCGGGCAGAGGACTGGCAATGCCTGCAGGAGGCGACTTCGGGCAGGGCTTAAGCCTCGGTCTCCTGCTTCCATGAGCAGCAGTGCAGTCCCTGCGGCAAGGCAAGGCCACACTTCTCTGGAGCTGCCCTGCTTCTCCGGGGCTCAGCCTGCCTCCCCCATCCCTCACTAGGGCCTCAGCTGATGGCTCTCTTGGCTCTCCTGTACGGGGGAAGCTCTCGACAACCACGCCTGCCAACGGCTCAGAGCAGGGGAAGCAGCTCCGCCAGACTCCCACCAGGTCCAGTCCTTGGGACAGTCACTAGCTTAAAGCCTTCCGGTCAGAAATGCCGTAAATGCCATGAGCTGAGTTCTCTCCCAGCAGTAACTGTCCTTCCTTCTCCAGGGTCCCAGAGACCACTCCTCACCCAGACAGTCCTCTGTAACACAGCCGAGTCACATGGCCCAGGCCCCGGCAGCAGCAGCAGCCCTGGCCGGGTCGCCCTGTGAGCCATGCAGGCCTCCACGCCAGCCTTCCAGAGAAGGGATGCCACTCAGAGCGCACCACCCCAGCGCGCTTGGTTATCGCAGTACGAGGACATTTATATCAGGCTGAACCACGCTGCACAACAGATATGGACGTGCACGTTTCCAGAGCTCAGCTGAGTCTAAGGTTTGCTTTATAGGGACGTAAATACATTTCATAGCACTACAAAAACACGAGTCCTCTGAGGAGAGTACCGCGGTCCCCAGGGCTGTAGGAGAGAGTTAAATAAAATAAAATAGCTGCAGAAAACTAAAGCCGACTAGGTAAATCCAGTTACAGTATCATCCTTCAGATTAAAGTGCTCCAGTGTAACCAGCGCTGCAGTGAACGTCGTCCTGAGGAGGGGCTCGGCTCCCTGGAACGGAGTCTGCACCCGGTACACCGAGAACGCCACAGGAGCGAGTCCTGCAGCCACTGCTCTCGGCTCAGCCCCGGCAGTGCCACGGGCCTGCGATGCTCTTCCCCCGGGACAGGTGACCGAGCAGAAGCGAAACCCCAGCCCAGGCAGGAAGAGCAGCAGCCCAGAAGCACTGTATTCGAACTCCCGTCTGAGGTTCAACGGCGAAGCTCCTCGGAGAAGCCACACAGAGCTGCTCATGGAGAAGGGGGCACGCACCCTAGTTTTAAAAACGTGTAATAATCTGGCTTAAAACTACAGCAATCCAAAAATAAGTATTGTCTTCTCACTCAAGGGGGTAAAATGCTTGTGGGTCTCCTCCTGAAGGAAAATGAAGAAGGCGGCGCAGCCTGCAGGTGGAGGCGTCTGTTTCCTGCCGGCTCTGCGATCTGGTTGGCCACATGGAGCCCTCACCACGACATCCCCAGACCTATGAGGGCCTTGGGGCTCCTTCCCGGCAGGGACAGGGAGGACTCTGAGGACGTAAGGCTGCATTTCACGCCAAGCCTGTGGTTCCGCACCTGCCCCGTTAGGGAGTCCTCCCTCTTGAGGGGTGGGGGACCCTGTGTCCTCTCAGAAGTGCTGCCGAGGAACCCAGGGAGCCAAGCAAGCCCCAGGGAGGTGGCTAAGGGCCCCACTGAACTCCCTCCGGATCTGCTGGGATTGTGTCCCTTGGTGCCTGGGGCACGCAGCCCCGATGACAGCAGAACAGTCGATCTAGCAAGCGAGAACCCTCTGCCACATGAGGAGGGCCTGTGGCCTCCCCCTTGGAGAAAAGCGGTTCTCTGATGGCGTTTTACTCTCTGTGTCCACCAGCAGGCCTGGGGCTCTAACAGGGCGCTCCGTAAGGGAGGGAGCAGTGGAAGGAGCTGAGAAGGCAGCGGTTCTCAATCTAAAAGGCACACTCAGAGGCGTTCCCTAAGCTTTTTTGCTAGTGAGAAATGGTGCCCAGGTCTGAGAAGCCTGGTGGGCTACCTGGTGTCCGTACTTAGCATGTGCAGCCATTTGCCAGCCCGGAGCGGCTCAGACACCAGGCAGGTCCGTGTGGCACAGCACCCACTGCAGGACCCTTGGCTCACTTCACCCTAAGCCTGAACGGCTGGAGGACGTGCACTCAGAAAGTCCCAGTGTCAGAGGAAACCCCGGCGTAAAGCACACCCAACACCTCCAGTACCATCTGCGTCTCTGGCGATCTTATGAGCGTGTCTCTGGGAGGCATAAAATGTTTACACTCAGTTAAAGGCACCGTGGATTCAGAAATAGAATTCTGGGGATGTACAGAAAAGCTTCTTTGTAATAATTACCCTGGTTCAACAGGTAGGATTGACTCTTGCCAGATAACACACCGGGGAGAGGGTGACTTGGCGCCGGTGGGCTGCTTCTGGGCCTCCTGAGTCCTTGACCTCAACCAGGTGGAGACAAGCTCAGAAACGGCTCAGGGTCTCCTCCTGGCGACTCACATCTTCCCTGCCTTCCTGCCGACCTGCGCGGGCACGCGGAGGATGTTGGGCGTCTCCTCCATGACCCTGACGAGCAGGTTGTCGATGTAGTCCTCCAGCTCGCGGACCTGGAGCTCCTTCTTCCCGATGGTCTCCTTCTGCTTGAGGACCAGCTGGATCAGCTCGTCGTGGGTCAGCTGTGCATACGCGGAAGCAGGGTCTGCAGGGTCGTGCTTCTGCGGAGAAGGCAGGGGCGGGGGACAGTTCCATGATCAGCAGGAGATTAAACACCCAGAAGAAATGCAGAAGAGCATCTGTGGGCCAGCCCGGGGCTGGTGCTTATATGAGCTGGACATGCACATCCAACACCACAGTCAAGTCCTGGACCTGGCAGTTTGAAAAACACACCAGGCATGTGTGTGTGTCTGAAATCCCAAAAGGAGAGAGAAATAGAGGAGAAGGGATTGTGACATGGCCATTCTCCAAGCTAGTGCTTCTTCACTACCCGCCCCCGGCCCCTGGGAATGCACATGCCCTCTGACCAAAACAATTAATTAATAAACAAATAAATAGTGTCTGTTGTTAGTGACCAGAGTCTGGGGAATGTATTTTCTTTCTTTCTTTCTTACATTCTTTTGTTTTTAAGAATTATTTAATTTTATTGGGCCAGCAAGTGGCGTGGTGGTTAAGGTGCTAGACATTCCCACATGGCTGACCACAGTTCAAGTCCTAGACCTGGTGGCCTGCTTTCTCACTTTCCCCCTCTCTATGTGTCTGTCTTTCTTTGATCAAATTAAAAGAAATGAGTGAATAAATAAAATTAAATAAAATCATCCTAAAAAAGAGAATTATTTCATTTATTTATTATTATTATTTAAATTTTCTATAAGACATGCACACTCACCAGAGAGAAACAGAGAGAGGGAAAGTGAGAAAGCAATCTACCAGGTCTAGGACTTGAACTATGACCAACCATGTGGGAGCCCAGCACCTTAACCACCATGTTGCCTGCCAGCCCTGTGGAATTCATTTTCAATTTAGGATGAACACAGACTGTGAACTGTTGAGGTTTTCTATAAGGAGCCAGATAGTAAATTTTTTAGACTTCACTGGTCACATCTGGCCTTCAATGCATGGTTGTCTTTGTTGTACTGTATTTTTGTTTTGTGACTCTTTAAAAATGTAAAAACCGGGCCAGCAGGTGGCATGGAGATTGGGGCAGATGTGGATGATAGCACTAGGCCGACAGTGTGATTTGAGTCCCAGACACAGTGGCTTGAAAACATACCGGTGTGTGTGTGAGCATATTCAAAAGTCCAAGAGGAGAATGGAGAAGGGACTGGTTTTGTTTTTGTAAAAAGGAGTTGTTTTTTACACATTAGCCCAAGCCTTTTTTTAAAGAAAAGAGACCCTGTAATCCAGGAATATTCTTCCTGAAACTTTAGCTTACGATAATTTGGAGGCCAGCAAGTGGCATAGTGGTTAAGGTGTTGGACACCCACTTGGTCAATCATGGTTCAAGTCCCAGATCCAGCAGCTTGAAATTCATGCTGGACATATGTGCCCAAAATCCCAAGAAGAGGATGAAAGAGGGAACCAGCAGTTAGCGTAATGGCTATGTCGCTGGACTCCCACGTAGTCGACCGCAGTTTGCATCCCGGACCCGGTGGCTTAAAACTCACGCCGGGCGCGTGTGCGTGCGTGCCCAAGATCCCGAGAGGAGAATGGAGGAGAAGGGATTGCGGCATGACCATCCCCCCTGGGGGGTGATTTCTCGCTTTCTGTCTCTATGTCTCTCTCTGTCTGTCTGGCGAGCGCACATGCCCTATAGCGAAAACCTCTCCAAAAAAAAAGAAGAAAAAGAGGATGAAAGAGAAGGGATTGCAGTGTGGCCAACCCCCCAGGGGGTGATTCCTTGCTTTCTGTCTCTCTGTCTCTCTGGCAAGCACATGCACCCTATAGCAAAAATCTCTTTAAAAAAAGAAAGATGATAATCTGCAAAAAGAAATCCTAAGCAGGAAGTTGTTGACTGCAGTATTCATTCATACTGAAAACCAGGAACGGTCGTGATAGCCCCTAATAGGGAGATGACTAAATGGCAAGGGTATAACCCCGTGTTTTTGAGAGATTTTTGTTATAGGGCATGTGTCCTCGCCAGAGAGTCACAGAAATAAAGTGAGAAATCACCTCCTGGAGGGATGGCCATGCTGCGATCCCTTCTCCTCCAGCCTCTTCCTGGGATCTTGGGCAACGCCTACACAGGTGCCCAGCATGAGTCTTAGGCTACCAGCTCTGGGACTCGAACTGCAGTTGACTACGCGGTAGTCCAGCAACATAACCATTATGCCACCTGCTGGTCCCGGTATAACCCATTTTGAAGAATAAGTAGCAACATGCAAAAATGCTCGCGATGTAGAAAAGAGAGTTTAGGAGTGTCTCACGCATGCAATGGAGTTGGAAATCGCTTTGCAACCACCATATTCATCGACAGTAAACCGTGGGAGGGGCCAGACGGCGGCATAGCAGTGAACACAGCACGCTGCACGGCATGCTACACAGGAAGGTGTTCAGTTCATGGCCAGACCTCCCTGAGAAGGCCGGGCATTTCCATGGGCCAGGCAGGTTGAGGCTGGGAGCTCATGCACTAAGACTCTGTTGGAGGCGCTATCTCTCTCACTCATAGAAACAAAGTGAAAAATAAAACAACGCCCTCAAAGGAAAGTTTAATGAAGAACAGGGTGTTGACACTGTCTGAAATTAACCCCCCACAATTTTTAAATTAATTGTGAAGGGCAACATAGCGGCTCTCCAGGGGAGGCGGTGGACTGTCCCCTCACCAGGCCATCGCTCGCACTCCTGCTGTGGGGCAGCTGATGCATGTGTGTCCTCAGTGCAGGAGCACGGGACCCACCCGCACATTCATCCTGGCCGAGAACACGACACCTCACCCAACTCGTGAGCGAACACCAGGCCAAGCCACAGAAAAGCGCAAAACAACTGGTTGAACTCTTCTTCCTTTTTAAAAAATTTCTGTCAGAGGGCCTGTGCACTCGCCGAAGAGACACAGAGAGAGAAAGAAAACAGAGAGGGCAAGAATGAGAAAGCGTGCCCCTGGGGAATGGTCACACCTCAATCCCTTCTCCTCCACCTTTCCCTCCCTTCAAGATTTGGGCACACACACAGGGTCTGAGACTTGAACCACGTGGCCAGCCATGTGGGATCTGGTGCCTTTAACCACCACACCACTGGCCAGCTCAGTCTAAACTCTTTAAAAATATCAACGTCTTTAAAGATAAAAATAAGCCAAGAAATTATTCTGGAAAAGAAAAGACAAAGACAAGAAGACTAAATGCAGTTTGGGAGCCTGAGCCTGCCCCTGGATTAGGGAAAACAAACTACAAAGGGCCCAGTCGGAGCGACCGGCGAGACCCGACTCCTGGACTGGCGAGGGGCAGCTGGCATTACAGCAGCGTTCGGCCTCTTGATTCCTGTGAGCGTCTTCACTGTCAGGAAGCACACACCTGAGTATGTAAGGGTAGGAACCAGCATGTGGCATAATGGTTACGTCACTGCCCTGCAACATGGTTGACTGTGGTTCGAGCCCCAGACCTGGCAGCATCAAACACACTTGGCACATGTGTGCATGTACAAAATCCCAAGGGGAGGATGAAGGAGAATGGGGATTGCAGCGTGGTCATCTTCCCTGGGGGCTGCTTTCTCGCTGTCTGTCTCTCTGGCAAGCACACGCACTCTATAGCAAAAATTTCTCTAAAAAAACAATATGTATGTATGTATGTGTGTATATATATGTATGTGTGTATGTGTATATGTATGTGTGTATGCATGTGTGTATACATGTATGTGTATATGTATATGTGTGTATATATGTGTATGTG